GTATAATTAAGTTTAACTTGTATAAATATAAAGTTGTACAAGTTAAAAACTTTACATAGCAACTTATTAAAAAGTTTTGCATAAGTTTATAAAATTATATTTAAGTCTCTCTCTCTCTCTCTCTCTCTCTCTCTCTCTCATTCACTCACTCTCACAAAGTATAATTGGTCAAACCAATTTATTTACTGTATATAGAAATTTAAACAAATTATTTATTGTTAACAAAGTTGAATGAGTTTTATTTCAATTTTNTTATAAAAATAAAAAATGAAATTGAAAAAAATCTAGATGAAAGAGAGAGAGAGAGAGAGAGATGATTTATTTTATGCATACATGTAATATTATATTAAAATTAATTTAAAAATAATAATTCTTGATCATGGTATTACAGGAACATAATTACCTACATATAATATAACCAATGAAAATAATTTTAAAAAATGCAAATATAAATTATAAACACGTAAAACCAAAAATCAGCGCATTTTATTTATTACTATGATTATTTTCTAATTTTATATATATTTGCCTCAATTTAAATCTAAACCCCAATAACACATATAACGCTATAATCAATAAAAAAATAAAAAATATAAAATTAAACCAAAAAATGCTAAACAAATTCCTGTCAATTACTATCAAAATAATAAAAATCACAATAAAAAATGCAAATTTATTTTTACATACATGTTTTATATATAAATATATAACATACTAAAAGTGTACTGTTTATAGTGTACTGATTGAGCAGTATATTTAAATATAGCCCGTTTTACACGCCATGAATAGTGTACTTTGTTTGATTTTATTTTTTCACCATAAAGAAATCATTTTTGATTTTGCCACTCAAAAATTGAAAGTGAATTGAGCACAAGTGGATCAATCGGTTTGTGTGTTTACCCCCTTTTCCTGTCCCCTCCCCTCCACCCGACCACTAGCCTATAGCTTAGTCCACTTACAACTAGATACTACATACTTGTGCCTATATTTATACATTATATTTAATGTAAACCACTTTATGGTTAAGTATAAGGTGTATATAAAAGGCGCCGGAGATTAAGCATTACATTCAATCGACATCTAATACCGAGATCTAATACATAAAGTACTTTTTGAGTGTACAGTGTATTTCATTATAAGTGAAAGTGTACTGCAATTTAATACAGTATTTATTTGTGAATTAATAATTTGTAATTATTAAGTGTTTTAAGTTACATATTAAATCAAATAGTGATCATGACGTTAGAGTCGCGGCGCCGTTACTTTTCGCTGGCCATTGTGGCCATACTGTCCCTCGAGTTGGTGCTCATTGGCGAGCATATGAAACCGGTGGCGGCCATCAACAAAGCCGAGGCCCTGGCCTTCAAGTCCATACTATCCTTCCTATTCCTACTTAAATCCAAGAGTAATATTAATATTTAAAATACAAACTTAAAATTTTTCAATTAGACCCCTATTTTAATCCCTAATATATTTTTTATCCCTTATTTATATTCCTATATTTGCTTACACTATGTGTTATTAAACTGATCTGGATATTTACCGATTTTTCAATTTACCCCGTTTGAAACACTATTAGAGCCCAAGTTTGGCATTATTCCCATCCCGTTACCCCTTCCCATACCATTCAAGTAAGTAGTTTTGTGTTTTTTATTTTGTTTGTTGAATTAATTTGAGTGTTAAATATAATCGATAGCTGTTTTGAATTTATTAATTGATTAATCGTGTTTAAAATTAGCGATATTCTAGCTTAATTGTATTAATAATAATAGTTATTATGTGATTATAATAAAATATATTGATTATACAGTATAATTTATACTGTTGATAGCAACGTTATGTAAATGTAAATTTATACATTCATGATTTTAGCATTAATTTAAACACAACGATAGCGTTATAAAAATAAATATTATTTTAAATCACACGATATAATGTATTTATGTACAGTTTAAAACATAACTAGATTAAACATTTAAACTTAGCTTAACACCATTATAATTAAACAAAATATTTAACATAAATATATTGCACTAGGGTCGATAAAAAAGAGGAACCAGTTGTGATCAAGAAGAAACACCACAAAGTGCCCATCGTGCACAATATTCCAGGTAATTATACCATCAAATTATACTATCACATTATACAACCATGTTCTAACATAAATATTTTTAATTACACCACCATCATACATTTAAATATACAGTGCATCAACCGTATCCAGAATATTACCCCGTTGAGGAGGCGCCCACATACGTGGACGGGGGCTATGAGAGCGGCTATGGAGGTGCAGAGCACGGAGGCTATGGTGCGGAACACGGAGGCGGCGGATATGGAGGCGAAGAGTACGGCGGCGGTTATGGTGGCGGGTATTAGTGCGTTGGCCGACCCCTGTATATAATATACCGGTTATTATTGTTGTTGTTGTGAACCGTTGTGTCTGTGTTTTGGAAACACTAGTTGTTGTTATGTTGTTATAATGTTTTGTATTGTCACAACTCTATTTACATTCATACAAACACTTTGCATCTCCCATCTCATCCCTACCCCCTCTCGCATCTCATACCCCCTAACAAACACACACTTACATAGAAACTTTACATATGTATCATCCCATCACATATCCATTCCCAATGCCAACAACCCATGCCATTCATCCCATTACCAATCATGTTCTCCCCCACACCCACCCCTCCCAGGACATACTGTTCATACCCGTGCCGTTCAATAGACAAATAATACAATTTTTGTTTTATAAAAATTGTATTTAACAAAATATTTCCCGAATTATTGAGATATTTTCAACCCTCATCCTCTCATACATACACCTGTGCCATACATTCCCTCACAGCCTCCCAACCCATCCTAACCCTCTCTCCAGTCATTGATCATCAAATAAAACACATAAACATCTCAACACCACCTCATCCCTAATCCTTATCACACCCCCACCCCCTCTCAATACATATGGTCATAATCGCACAGTTAATTATCCACGCAAAAATTATCACCCCGGTGTTTGGCAAAACAACTAATTCACCCTAAATTGTTTTTACGCATATCGTTTTTACACATATGTTTTTACACCAAAACTGCCCCCAATATCTCGTCCCCTCCCTGGCCAACGCCCAGCCTAAACTATCCAGTCCTACCCCCGCACATCATTACCATCATGCTAATTAATTGCCCCTACCCCTCCCAATAAACCCTTCAAAATTTTACACTTTCTATGGGTTTCTAAAAATAAGGTTAATTTTTTTTGTAACATTCATGCAATTCATGCAATCATTTCATGAAATATATACAGATTTTTGTACAGAATATTCTGTGTTTTCACAATATATTTGTTGCTATTTTTATAATTGAGTTAATTTTTTAAAAATTGGTTTTTTTGGTTTTAAAAATCTCTGTTTTTGTGGTTTTTTGTGGATTTTGTTTTGTTATGTATTTGTTTTTAAGGCTTGAGTTTTTAATGGCTATCAATGGTATAGTCTATTGAAAAATTCGCTTTTAATACTAATTATATAAATTAATAATAATAAATTACCATAATTTTTTATTAGGCAATTATTGTATAATAATTATATAACATAACAAGATTTGTTTGTTTAATTTGCTGTAAAATTTTGTTTTTATACAACGAATATTGTTCACATAAAATTATGTTCAAAAATTTTATATACATTTTATGTTCATTTTAATTCAAAATTGAAATAAAACTCATTCAACTTTGTTAACAATAAATATTTTGTTTAAATTTCTATATACAGTAAATAAATTGGTTTGACCAATTATACTTTGTGAGAGTGAGTGAATTAGAGAGAGAGAGAGAGAGAGAGAGAGAGAGACTTAAATATAATATTATAAGCTTATGCAAAACTTTTTAATAAGTTGCTATGTAAAGTTTTTAACTTGTACAACTTTATATTTATACAAGTTAAAATTAATTATACAGATTAATAAATAATGCATAAAATTAATTATACAAATATAATATTAATTGTAATAGGCATTAATTAAATCTAAACATTATTAAGATTTTTAATTTATTTTTATTATTCAGTATTTATTTTTAAAATTTTGTTTGTGTAATTTTAATGTAAATTTTGTTTTTGTTCAGCAAATATTGTAATATAATTTTACAATGCATTTTTTTAAAATTTAATAATAAATATAAAAATAAACATATAAATTTTTAATAAATAAAAACATGTCCATTTTTATAACAACATTTGTATTTTGTTTTAATTATTAAAATCAATTGTACTTGATTATATACAATTAAATGTTTAAATATAAATAAACTAGGTAGTAATTTATCAGAACACAAGGTACATAAAATAAGATTTATTAAAACACATTATAACAGCATAATTATTGAAATACTTATCAATAAATTGAAATACTTACAAACCTTAATAACCATCAAGATTATTTTGCTTGCAATGTATTCAAAATAATTATATTTAAATAAGTTTTTAAAAACTATTTTGACGAATTTAATTTTTCATTAAATAATGAACGTTAGAATTCTTTTATACACGTGATTACCCAATAGCGGGAAAGTGAATTGATATTGATGGTCAGATGAACAGTTATGTATAATCACGATTATGTTGAATGGACAATCTATTAACAGGGCGTTAATATAAATATAATGTAATTATATTTATAAATTAACATAAGATATATAAAAGGAACCGGAGATTAAACATACACTCAATCATGAATATATCATACAAAGTAATATAAAGTGGAATTTTATCATAAAAATTATATTTATTAATGTAATTATATTTATAAATTAACATAAGATATATAAAAGGAACCGGAGATTAAACATACACTCAATCATGAATATATCATACAAAGTAATATAAAGTGGAATTTTATCATAAAGTTTCATTATAACAAGTGATATAATCATTAAAAATTTGTTATACGTGAAGTTATCATTTGTAATTAAGTTAATATAAATTAATTTAAATCAAATTGTGATCATGACGTTAGAGTCGCGGCACCGTTACCTATCGCTGGCCATTGTGGCCATACTATCGCTTGAGTTGGTGTTCATTGGCCAGCATATGATGCCCGTTCAGGGCCTTAACAAACCCCTGGCCTTTAAGTCCATACTATCCTTCCTATACTTATTAAAAAAGAAAAGTAATATTTAGCATAACTATTTTAATATCTATTTGAACCTTAATTTGTTATCTAACCATGTTCATATATTAATATATTCCTGGTCCGCTATTTAAACTGAACTGGATAATTTTATATATTTTAATCTACCACGTTAGAGCCAGAGATTGGCTTTATAGCCTTCCCATTACCCCTTCCCATACCATTCAAGTAAGTATTTTGTATTGTATTTTAATTTACTACAATGGTAATGAGTGCTAGATCATTGGTCATCAATATTTAACATATTTATTTATTAATTAGCCGTGTTAAAAGCATAATTATCATAATTAAACATTATTTAATAAAATAATTCACCAGGGTCAATAAACACGAGGAACTCGTAGTGAACAACGAGAGCAAAGAGACTAAAGAGGATACAGTGGAAAATGCTAATCAAGGTAATTATATCAGATTAATTATATCAAGTTACTATCAAATAATTATACCATCTGGCAAAATAAATTTTCTAACAAACCTTTTTCAACATCCCACCCCATTTACAAAAGTGGCTGTGCCGATACCAGTCCACCATCACCATCATCACCACCACGTAGATGTACCTCATACGACATACATTGACCATGATATGGATGAATACAGCGGTGAAGCCGCGTACGGGGGTCACTATTAGTGTGGTTGTGCGCCACTGTATATACTATTTGTATATTGTTATAAATAGTTGTTGTTTAAAACATTAGTGGTTTGTTGTTATATAACTTGTATAATAACTCTGTATATGTATTGTCACATCTCTATTCAATTATATACACAGCACACACTCGCATCCCTATTCCCCTCATCACATCACAAAACACATATTCAAACTATACATTGCATATTATTTTCAATCTTATTCATCCTATGCCAACCCATACCCATCCCAACCCCGTACACCCAAACTCGCCCGTCTATACTCTGACCAGTAATACGGTATATTTCAATCACTCAACCCTACATGTGATATGCAAACCCCTTACTCACACAAATTCCTCCCTCATACAAACACAAACTACCCCTTTCAAACCCTGATCATTACGAAAAAACATACACACAAAAATTTACATAAGTCCATCTAAACCCTGTCCACTCCCCTCCCTTACACCCCCTCTAACTCCTTTCCTGTAGAATATTCTGTGTTTTTAAATCGAGTTTAAAATGTTCATCATTTGTATATAGGTGATTTTCGGTTTATAATTGTCTAAAGGCTTGAGTTTTTAATGGCCATTATTAAATAACCTATTGTAAAATTTGTCTATTAAGGTAATTATTTTGTACAAATTATACAAATCAAATTGCACAAATACAAAATACAAAATTGTACAAATCAGGATATCATGGTATTTATATTTTAATAATAATTAGTTTATCTAAATTTTATGTCAATTTTTACATCAATTTATTTTGAAATTATTTTACAACTTATGTTAATTTTGTAACCATTGTAATAAAAACTCTATTTTAATAAAATAACTACGGTAATATTTAAAAATTATTATTATTAGTAGCAATTTTTCAAATTTTCTTGGTAATAAACTATTACAGCACACATGTATGTAAAACTTTATATATAAAATTCATTTATATAACTTTCGATAGTTGGTTATTTTATATCACGGTCTGGTCATCCTGGTCATAGATGATATTTTTGCAGTTAATTATCACTTTTTCAGTACTTGATTTACATATGATATTTGTTTAACAACTATAAATAAACAATAAATACATATTTAAATGTTATTTAAAAATGAAAATTCAGATCTAATTTTAATCATTTAAAAATAAAATTTAAAATACAATAAATAAAAATAAATATTAATTTCCAAAGCAAAACAAATCAAATTTATTAAATAATATATCTATTTTTAATTAAAAAAGACAAATATTAAAAACAAATCTAATCAATAAAATGCAAATCAAAGCATAAATATAGCGCCAGAAAAACACAATAACTATAATTAAAAATCAATAAAAGTCTAATTAAATTCACTTTTTGAAACCGCAGGACAAGGGGTGCGGACAGTACTGTCTCTATAGTTAACTCGTTGTAAACCAAACACACGTAGTATCCTTACAAAGATGGTATACATGGGTATGTGTCAGCTATACCAACCCTTGGTAAAATCAGTGATGATTAAAATACAATACAGACAATTAATGCAAAGGTAGGCATAGACTTAGATACTATTGAAAGTACCGGGTATTAGAAGTATATACTATGTAATCATTACGTGTTATAGTACTTGGGGTCCCAGACATGCAAACATAGGCCTAGTATGTGCTGATCAGGCCTGTCATCCCTGGCCAACAACCCTCTCAGTTGTGAGTAGGAAATAGTGCTAATAATAATAGTTATAATAATAGGAGTTAATAATTATACAACACACAAAAAATATGTAAATTTTATTTTTACACCACAAAAAATTGTATATTTATTTTTACCATAATAAATTTGCTCTGGATGTATAAATATAGATTTTACTTTTCTACCAAGTATGTAATTTAGTGTGTTTATTTTTTTCACTACAATAAAAATATTATTAACTTTATTTATCGCACTTAACAATTAAAAGTGAATTGAGATCAAGTGGATCAATTGGTTCAATCTCTCTCTCTCTCTCTCTCTCTCTCTCTCTCTCTTTCATGTAATGTTTTGTTATCCCAACCCCTCCTATACCTAACCATTCACTTATACCATACCTATAAGTGTCTAAAAATATACGCGTGTTTTGTTATGTAATTATTAAATATAGATATATTTTTATGCAAACCACTTGACAGGGCTCTGATGTGCGGTGTATATAAGGCACAGGAGTTTAGACAATAATTTCAATATTTATACCGAGATCTAAAGTCTGTGTTGAAAAGTGATTGTGTGTTGGATTTTATTTTGCTGTTCATTATAAAGAGTGAAAAGTCTATGAAAATAGTGTATTGGTTAATAAATTAACAAGTTGTGTTTTGTTACATTCATCATTTTTATCATCACCACACAATTATTGTGATCATGACGTTAGAGTCGCGGCGCCGTTACCTATCGCTGGCCATTGTGGCCATACTATCGCTTGAGTTGGTGCTCATTGGGGAGCATATGTTGCCCGTCCAGGGGCTCAATAGACGGGAAGCCATAATCATTAAGACCATACTATCGGCACTATTTCTACTCAAATCTAAGAGTATTTATATTTATTGGTCACTATTTTTAATTGATCCTGGTGTTTATCCTGATTCTTTTTACTATCTATATTTTTTAATTGATCCTGGTATGTTATCCTGTTAGTAATATTTATGACTTATTAATCACCATGATTAGAGCCCAAGTTTGGTATACTACCCATTCCACTACCACTTCCCATACCATTAAGGTGAGTATTTTTTATTGTTTTTTGTTTAGTTTGTGAGATTAAAACTTAAGTATGATAAATTAGGTAATCGATAAATTTTTATAAGCTTATCAAGTGATAAATCGTGTTAAAAACATTACTCTTATAGAGTTTATATTGGTAATACTAAAATTTAGTAACTAAATAATAATTACAATAGTTATGATAAAATATAAATAATTGTTGATAGTAATATTTGTGTGATTATTATTTTAGTTATTTATTTATTGAATTACTTAATCAACAAAATAATTATAATTGCAATTAAAGTAACAAATTATTTAACACTAGATAAAGGAACATGTTTGAAATTATGTGACCATGATTAAACAAATTAGTAATTAATTTCATAAATTACCAGGATCGAGCAAAAGGAGCCACCCGTATATATAAACAAAAAACACCACAAAGTGCCCATTGTGCATAATATACCAGGTAATCACAACTACCCTAACTGCATCAAAATTAATATTATGATACTAAACATAATCATAACTAATATAAAATAACCCTGCTTAAATACAGTGCCAGAAACGTATCCGGAGTACTACCCGGTGGAGGAGGCGCCCCAATATGTGGACGGGGGCTACGAAGACAAAGAGTACGGGGGCTATGGGGGCGGGTATGGGGGCTATTAGTGGTGTGCTGTGAAACGTTGTGTTTTTGATATACTGTACACTTTTATAATGTTTTTTGTTTAGTTTTGTTTTTGTTATTCAACGTATAACACGTTTGTTATGTCACATCTCTATGCCATATAACATACATACACTTTCTCGCATCCCATTCTCTCATCCCATACCCAAACACATATACCCATACAATGACACCACATATGCTATCATCCCTATCCATCCCTACCCTTCCTTCCCTTCAACCATACCCTCCCCTACAGTCCAACCAAAAAACAAATCCATATCACATACCCCTCCACCGTTCCCCCTCCCCGACTCTCACACCCAGCACAGTTTAATACTTGATATACCCTGATATTAATCGCACACAAGTATCACACAATTGTTTATCAAAATTATTTACTCAAAATTACCGTTAAATATATATTTTACGCCAAAACCCGTGCCATACATACCCAGACCTCCTGGCTATCTCCTATTTAACAACCCCTACCATAATCATACAAACAGTAACTCCCAGTCCCCCATGCACACAGTTTGCAACTTTATTAAAAAGTACCCAACATTATATAAATCACAGCTACTGTATTATCACACAGTTTTTTATTATAAAACATTTGCATTAATTTTTTTATAGACTGAATATGTTTTGCCTGAAATTTTAAACAAAATTTACACTAATTCTGTATTTAATTTACATCCACTGCCCCCTCTCTCCCCCCCCAAACACAGACACATATACTAAATTATATATATTCAGATTAGATTGTTCTTGCTGCCTCTATTTACACATGATCACACCAGTACCCCCACTCCAGCCATTATATCTAATAATTTTACATGTTCATTTTACACCCAATCTCCCTTCACCCCAAATTATTACCATAATACAATTTATCGCAAACCCGACCCCATATGAAAGCCCCCTAAATATTTACAGTTCATTACTATTGCAATAGATTTCTAGAAATATGTAGACATTTCGCAAATATTGTTTCACATAATAATTCATTCAATCCTTTCATTTCATTCTTTACATGTTTTGTACAAATGTTTTAATTATATATGTTTTTTGTTGTAAATCTAATTGTTTTTTAAGTAGTTATAATATTGAAAAATTATTTGTTTGTAATTTTGGTGTTTTTTGGGTCCAAAAATTACTTTTCCGGTTAATCTTGGTATTTACAAAGTTGTTATTTTGTTTGGGTTTTTGTAGTTTTTAAACTTGTTAAAAGTTTTAAACTAAATATTTTTAAAAGACTTGAGTTTTAAATGACTATCAATTGATAGTCTCATTGAAAAATTCGTCTTTTATTATAATTATGTAAAATTGTTTTAATTATAATTATCACGAGTTTTATTGTATAATTTCTATAATAAATATTGTTTAAGATTTAGCTAAAATAATTGTTTTACTTTTTTTTAAAAATTAAAATAAATTTTATAAATGTTGACACTTGACCTTTAATTATAGAATAATTGGTTCTTATAATTAAACAAATTGAAAAAGTTACGCAAAATATATATAAAATACAATTAAATTGTTATAAAAAAATTAATTACAATTCATATATTTAGGCTAATTTTGGTGTAAATGTGGATCAAATTCAATCATTTATGAATGGATTACTTAAGGGATCAGAAGATAATGATATTTTGGATATAATAAATTAATTCAATAATATTTTTGGTGAAAATGTAAACCAAATAAACGCTAATATAATCTCACGGATGAAAAGTGCAATTCTGTGGCGAAACAAATATAAATTGAGTTGAAATACAAAAATTCAATAAACATATATATATTATTTTTAAATCTAATTTATGACAATTTTTAATGATTGTATATAATCATAAATATAATGATGTAAATGTATTTTGATCTCAAAGCTATTAATTTAATTTTAATTGTGTAAATTTATTTGCTGATGGTGTTGGAGGCGCTGCCCGCCAGTACTAGCATTGATAGCACCGCTTTCACCAGCACACGATAACCTGATACGTCAAATTACATTAATTAATTAAGTTGAATTGCAAAATCACTAAATACCATATTGAACTGAACACGTATTCATTTTTTAGCTAAAAAATACGACACAAAGCGCAAGTGTATACAAAACTGACCAAGCCGAGTAGCCATAACAATGTCAACATTTACATTAATGTTGATCATTATCGCATTAGCGGTCGTGCCGTACACGTGGGTAGAAGCAAAAGGCAAACGGACCCTTATATGGTATGAACACTAATTGGCTTAGAGCCACTATTGTATAGTGAGGTTATATTTTAGTAAAAAATGATTTATTTATGTAAAAATATAGACAATTAATACCAAGATTAAATTATTATTTTTATTTAAATATTAATTTCAGATAAAGAAATTTATTTGTAAAATAAATGCTCGTTTACATTATATAATATTATAATAATACATTATACAGTCCACCTTCTCCATAATGAACGGCCAGTTTCACGACAAAAGTGTTTATTATAGGGAGGGTTAATCCAGCGGGAGGTTCTGTTATAGGTATAGAAAATCCAAAATATATAAGGCTGTTCAAAATTAAACGGTTGTGTTTCTCGGTCGATTCCTCTGGAACTGTTAGAGTGACAATATTGAAACTTCACACATATATAGAACCACGTCGGGCAATTTTTTTGACATAAAATTTTTTTATGATCACGTGACTATTTAATGAGCAAATGGATGATTTGCGAGACCCTTATTCACAACCTACTGTGTTTGTTGTAGGGAGGGGTGGGGGTTAGGGTTGCATAGA